TGTGCCCTATGCTGGGAACCAACATTTTAAGTTTTTTAGTTGAGGGTGATTACACAATCTTTCAATCACAATAAAAGCAGTACCACACTGGTATGGGATGGCAATTCACTTATAGGTTGACTGTAGTGAGCAACAGAAACATACATTATAGAGCCAATTCTTATTGCAACTCCTCCAGTCAGAATTTAGACCATGTTTTGCTAGAAGTCGTTCCCACATTTGAAGAAACTCAGTGCTGATTTTGAAAGTGTGCTCCCTGGACTAGCAGGACTTAGTGTCACACAGAACTTGATAAAAAAAAAAAAAAATACCTAGTCTGGCAGAAATGCAAATCCTTGGAACTCACTGGGACCTGCTGAATCAGGCACTTTGAGGACAGATCTCAGAAAACTACATTCACAAGGCTTCCAGATGGTATGGCACACACTAACAGATTGGCTCTGGTGTAGGGAGGGCTAAATCCATGGGTTAAGGTTGTCAGTGACTGCAGTAGAGAAATACGAGGCTTGCCCCTACCCTCACTGGTTCTCCAGATCAAAGCAGTGGACACACCACAGAAGCAAGAGATGTTACAAAAAGCAGTGTAAGATCTTAACAGCAGTTCAGGCATCATCATAAGAGACATCACAAAAATGTTACTGTCACACGTTTCTTTTAAATCCCTTTTATGCCCCTAGACTCTACGTCCTTCTGTCCACTGCCAATTCCAAAGTTGTTTTGTTGATCTTTCTTCACCTTTGTAAATTCCAAGCAAAGCAGTATTTCTGAAGGCAATCTAAGTAATAAAACTATACATTTTATAATGCTCTACGTCTTTTAAAATAACTTTGTAAGGATCATGTTGTTTTATCTTCACGACTGTGCTATAAAGTTTATTCTACTGGGAAATCAGTGTGTCGATTTAGAACTCTCTAATAAAGTTCTTAAATTAACAACTACTTTTTGAGAACAGACTATATGAAGCACTTTTACAGAAAATTATTTCCAACACAACTCTGCAAGCTGTCCAAAGACAGCAAATATACTCAATTTAAGAAAGTGGAAAATGTACTAAAACATATACCATACAATTACACTAAAATTAAACACTGTTTCAGAAAGGTGAAATCCTATGTAGATTGAATACAGTGCGATTTATTATAAAATCTGATGCTATTGTGCAGAGAAGCCTTCATCTCCCAGTAATGAGAGCAGAGGGAAAGGAATGAGAATATATGTCTTCAAAAATTCCTGCTCTAAAATGAAGCCTTTTATTTTCCTTCTATATTTTTGCATGACACATGAACAAAACACCTATTTTTTTTTTCTCTGAAAAATCTAAAGTTACATTCAAACTTTGGATAATGCACCAAGATTTGAAAGCTCCAAACATAAGAATTATTTTAAACCCCAATAGAAGTGGTACCAGTAAAATTCCCTCTGTCTTGTAGCTATCTCTTGCTCCAGATGGATTAGCTGCTCAGTTTTCGGTAGTTTCTGTGAAACTCAATGATATCAACCAAATTGGTCTCTATGATGTCTGCATGGTTTAGGTTGTTTGCAAAGGTTGTGTCTTACTGAATCCATAATACAGCTTTGGTTTGGATACAGTCATTATTTTTGTGACCACCCAAGGGACAGGTCATCTTCCACAGAGCATTCTTTGTCAGTGAAGAAATTGATCCAGGCTGTCCATGATGTTGTAGACCCACTAAATTTTGCCTTATCTACTTCATTAGCTCATCACAGGCACTCACCAGAAGATCTATAGGGTACTAAGTCTTGGAAGCAACATTCACATCTCCATCTACTGGCTATGAAATAGTCTCTCTCAGATCATCAGATAAATCAACTGAATTTACAAGATGGTCTTGGGTATTATCTGTCTGGGGCATAGAATCTCTGAAAAAAAGGCAGAAAATGTAAGTGAGCTATCCCTGAGACTTGTTCATCACTGTTCTGACTCTCCTAGTAGATCGCAGCATTGCTCTTGGGTTAGCTCAGGAGCAGGCCTGGGTGCCCAGGAAATTTCAAAATAGTGGAAAAGTAAACATGTCAATTTACAATCATCCTCAGGTTGACCTCAAGTTATATTTGGTGGCTTTAACCTGGGACACTGTTTTCTTCTACAAAAATAAAAGTCTTTTCAGGCAGTACATTCCAATCAAACTCTGTCTTATTGACCTGAAAAGTTTGTTTCAATAAGGGAAGCCAACTCTCCAGGATAGTGCAAGACTTGTATGCAGCAGAACTGCCATCTTTCCTATTCATCTTAACGCTGTGCAAACTGTCTCTCTCCTGGAACCTTGTAAATCATGGTCTACTAGCCACTAAAAATTTCCATTTCAAAACCATGATGTCAACAGACTACAAATCCTCTATCGTGGTGGCCTCTGAGAGATCACAGGCTGCAATGCCATATTTAACTGCTGCCCTCTGCCCATACATATTCCACAGTTTTCCACCAAAATATTTTTGTGACAAATCAGTTCACTAATGTGTTTCAAGGGATAAGGGATTGATAATTTTTAAACAAACCTTTTTCTTGACTTTGTGTAATAGGATGTAAAGAGAAAAATTCCAAGCATTTTACCATTTAGCCACATTTTAATCTCATCAAACTGCCTTAACACTTGAAATTTTACATGTACCTAACTGATGAACAGTTTTCTCATGTACCTTGGCCAATTTTCAGAATGCTGCTTTTTTTTAAATGGATCTTTAGCCAGGTATTCAGCAAAAGTTTGTACATGCACTTCCCACAAATGCATTTCTAGAAATTTGAAAGAACGCTGAAGATATTTGTTTTGTAGTTTTTCTCCTGCATAGCTCTGCCTCTGGGTCTGTTGAACCTGAAGATGCTCTGCTGATGGCTGTGGCAGCTTATGGCTCCTAGCCTGTCATGGGAGCCCACCTGCCACAGCTAAAGGCTCCAAGTTAAGAGCTCAAGACATTTTAGAAGATCAAATATTGAAAAGCATCATGAACAAAAAGTGGAAATTGATTTGAAATGAAAAAGCCATTTCAAACTAAACCTTGAAACTTCAAGACTAAAAACACACGAAGACACAACAAGGCTCACTGGATTAGAACAAATAGGACAGTTCTGAGATGAACCAAATTCTGTGCGCTACATTCGACAAAGTCACTGACGTTCCCACAGATGCAGATATCAGAGCTTCTGAACCAAGAGGTTCAAGTATAAGACGGGACTGTGCTGACTAAGCTTTAACTGTCAATTTGACTGGATTGGGAGGTCCCCGGGGGATTAGTGAAATGTACTTCTGCCCTCTCTGCAAGCCTGAGGGAGGCATGAATTCGGGACTGCTCCTTCCTCTCTGACTCTGTTCTCCTGCTCTGCTTCCTGGCTGCCATGAGTTGAGCAGTCTTCCTCTTCCACACTCTTCCACCATGATGCTTCTGTTTTGAAGCCACCTGACCATGGACTGACACCTCTGAAACTATGAACAAAACCCTTCCTCCTTTAAATTATGTATGCCCCAGTGATAAAAACCTGACTAATATATGTCCCACCACTGGAAACTATTTATCCTGATTGCTTGTTCACTTTTCAATCCCTTCTGATTGGCTTTAACCCTTAAATGTTGGGTCCAGGCCTTTAGGAAGACAGATTTTATAGATTGAGGAACAGGAAAATGTTTATAGGTTGTTTAATCTGATTATTAATTTAAAGTGTTGGAATAAAAGTTTATTTCTCAACTATTAGTCATATAAAAGAAACATATATAAATGTAAAGCTAGTTTGGCTTTTTCATGCATATGTATAATCTTACACCAAATATTTACGTATGTGTTGGTAACACTGTGCAACAGTATATTTGATATTTGTATATCTACTTGTATGCAAAACCTCTCAAGATTTGGTCAGTTCTTTGAATAAATTTTAACTTCATTTCCCTGGGTCACAAAAAAAGTAGAGGTTGTCTCTAAGAATAAGTACCCAAAGTAACTGTTAAAGGTCTACTGCCATTGGACAATCATTAAGGACATCTTGATGGCTGATATTCTTGAAATGACTGCTTAATTTCCCCTATATTTGGACTGTCTGAGAACTGTCAAGCATAAAAAGCTGTACAAGTATGTCTACTCCTACTCCACTACAATGTATTAGTAAATAATCCTTCATTTTTATATAGTTTATTCGTATTTTCCAAAGGGGGAGGCAGCTCGTTGTGAAACCTAGCTCTGGAATCGGGTGGGGTTGGGAGTAAGGTCTGCAATTCACAAAAAAATATAAAAACCCCATTGTCTGGAATGTGCAGGCACTGCGACTTTGTTTGCAAACTCCTCACCTGATAGCAAGCGCTTCCATATGTAGAGATGATGACTAATTATGTTTGTACAAGTACATCACCGTGATAGTGTAAGAAATGCACAAAAGTCAGGCTAAGAAAGCAGAAGAAAAATGACTTCCTTCTTGCATGCTAATCCTTTCTTACTGTTCACTAAGCACATGCACTTTTCCAAATACAGTTACCTGCAATTCAAACCCATACAGAAGAAAGCTGGTCTGGGAGAGCCATTCCCTTCCCCTTCCCTAATGGTCAGGAAACATCAATAAATATTCCTACAAGTCGGCTTACTGATGTGAAAATTTACATAGAGACCTGGGGCTTCCTTTAAAATGCAAAGATGACAACAACCGTTCCATTAAGAAATGCACATGCAGCCCTGTTACCTGCTTAAGGCGAAAACATTTCCTCTGAGTCTAAATCAAGTTAGTAAATTTAAGATATCTGGGAGGACTGGGCACAGGGAACTTTTGGCAGAAGTCCAGAACTAAAGAAGCTAATCTATTATTTTACTTTGATTTTTCTTTGAGGACAAAACAGGCTTTTGCCAAACCCAGCTCAGGAATCACATGGAGAAGAGAGCAATTTTCAGCTAATTGATAAAGTAAAATGCAGGCGATCTTAGAATTTTCTTTATGTGAGCATCCCTTTAACCAGAGAGAACAAAAGGGTGGTGATGGTGATTGATTCTGCCTTTGCTGTTCTTACCTGAATAGAGATCTGGCCCTGGCCCTGGGGACCGTCCCAGGGTGGTATCAGCAGCAGTGTCTCTTGGGGACGTGGCCGTCTGCAGGGGCTGCACAGTGAGGCAATCTGTGAGCAGGTCTGGGTGGAGCTCTGTGCTGGACCGCAGCTAAGAGAAGGAGAAAACAAGAGAGATGGAGAAGGAAAGCTGGTCCTGGGGATACTTGGCTGGAAAAGGCTCAAGCCCTAAGTTCAGTGCAATTTAATGCACAAATATTTATCAAGTAGCCGCTCTGGGGAAGGCACAAGCTTAACACACTGTCAATAAAAGGGCAGGCTGTCCAATCCTAGCAACACCTGGCAGGTGCTTCAGGAAAAATGTGGCTAGAGGCGGATTTGACTTTAGTCCTTGATATTTTCATTTCTGAGAACCCAACTTCCTATTACATTTCCATTTATTTGCTTTGTATCTTATCAGAACTTGTAGCGATAGCAAAAATAAATGCAAGTAGGTTTAGTCTATATTGGAAAGTGTTTTTAGAATAGAGATACTGTCATGAAATATCTTGAAGATAATTAAGAAATGTCCACGGAGATTTGACTCCTACAGGTTTAGCATGAGTGGAAAATACTCAAGTTAAATTTAAGAATATTATGGAGCATGATTTAAAAATAACCTGGTAGCTACGCTTAACAGCAACAAAAACCCAATACTAGGTTACATTAAAATAAATCAAAACAGTTTTGGTATTAATTTAATTACATGGAAGAAAATTAACTATATATTAAAGAGTTATAAATTTAAAAAAAACATAAAAATGTGAGAATAAAGTGTAGGTGAAAAGTGACACCTTTACCAACAAGACTTTTAAGTGTAATTTGAATGGAAAAAATTACAATGGAAAATTTATTGACAAAAATATTATGCTTATCCAAAATGCTTATTCAAAAATATAACTTTAAAAAACAATCTAGAAATATATTTGTTACATTATTGCAAAATGTTACTATCTTCAGTATTTAAAGAAAACATGTAAGTTGATTTTATAAGGTGTCTTACTTTTCTCTCGTTGCTAAGACAAAATACCCAACACCCAAAGTTAAAAGGGGCAAGGTTTATTTAGCTCATGAATTGTAGAGGTTTCAATTCATAATCGGCTGGCTCCAAGGCAAGGTGGCATGTGGCAGAGGGCAAAAGTTCATGGCAACGGAAAACAGCAAAAGCAACCAAAGTAAAAGGGGGAGACAAGACTCTTTCTGTCTCTCAGACTGTATTCAGTCTACTCGGATTAGGTCAGTGCCAATTCAATCAGTAGATTTATCCAGCAGTCACCCATCCTTAATTCCAGTATCCTTAATCCCAGTATTGCACTATGAATGAATCACACACTCGAGATGCAACCACCTCTGGAAAAAACCCTAGGACGCATGATGCTTTGAGGGACATCTAGGCACAAACCATACATAAAGACAATATTAAACCTTTAGATACAGGGGTGAAATATACTTATTCATTCAACAAATATCAATTGAGTGTCTCATACTCCTCTTATCCTAGGGATACTCACTTTATGGAATTTATACTGTTTGAGAGGAAGCAGATACATATATACAACATCAGACAATTCTCAGTGCTAAGGAGCAAAGCGATGCCAAGAGGGACATAGAGAGTAAGGACGAGGGAAGGAGCCCTGCAGGCCACTGAGGGAGGAAGGTGCCTGCCCTGCAGGAAGGAAGAAAAGAAGAAAACAAGGAGGCGTATCTTTTGCAAATGGGTAAGGAGCCAAGAGATGAGGGGAGGGAGAGGAAGGGGCGATAAAAAGAGTTAAGATGTGTTATGTATGTGTACCAACTCCTCGCGATGAATGTAATCATTATGTACTATCAGCACGTACTAGTAAAAGTTTTTTTAAAAAGAAGCAGTGGCAGTGAAGTTTTAAGAGGGTGTGTGGTTATGGACTCTTACTTAGAGAGTATGTTGGTAAAAACTTTCAAGGTGGTTCCCGGACTTCAAATTAAAACAATTTGATTTAAGAATCTGTCATAAGAAAATAACCAGAAATGTAAAGGAAAATTTATACCCAAACAGGGTTTTTCCTAATTATACACAAGATTATTTATAGAAATACCAAAAATGAGGAAATTTTACCTGATTATCCACAATTATGGCCAGCAAGTAATCTTACATGAGTTTGGTGGAATAATATGCAGCCTTTAAAAAGATGTTCACAAGGACAAGACACAAATTTCCACATGGAAAATTTTAACAATTACATAAAAATAAATAGACAAAACACCAGAAGTAAATGTAACACCATAGTAAAGCTGATGTTGTCCTCAGCCACAATATTATAAACGTATTTCCTCAGGTTTTTAAAAATGCTTCTCTGTGCTTTCTAAATATTCTACACTTCAATGATGCACTAGACTCACAGGCAACAACTTAACAGTATCAACCGTGTGCTTCTTTCCCAAATTTTCCTTGCAATGACGTCAGACTGACAGCCTGAAATGAGTGACAATTATGGTGAGAATATTTACACTATGGAGATTAACAGTTGATGCAAACAGGCTTTTTCATTGGGAGCACTGGTTATAAACCTTACTAAAATATTACTGATGGTGACCATTAACTGTGTTGATCAGAAAAAAACACACACACTGCTCTGGTTGGTGTAATTAATTCTCTAAAGTTTTGTGTGATAGAAACTTGGCTTCTACTGTGGCAGTGCTGTGACTTTTGGTGGGTCCTTTGATGGGCTGACTTTGAGATGGTTAGGTCCCTGAGGATTTTGCCCTTGGAAGGGCTTAAGGCAGTTTTCACGGAACTCTGAGCTAACTCTCAAGACACCGAGTTGTTACAAAAGAATGAGCCTAACACCTGCATCCTCTCTACTCTGGCGTTCAGTCTCACCATGTGGTCTCTCCTTCTAACATAGGCGCCAACCATGACATAATTCATCAAGTGATTCTGCCAGGGGGCCCTTGTCAGGGCACTGTATTGTTTGCACTTTTAGACTCCAAAACTCTGAGCTAAGTAAACCTCTTTTCTTATAAAGTATCCAACCTCAGGTATTTTATTATATGGTTATAATACAGGTTATACACATATAAACACAAAGTGTGTGTGTGTGCACACACATTTACTGGTATTTATAGAGCAGTTATTGCTTAGATCACAAAAAATTTCATAAAGAGTCTGACATATGTAGATCATAGTTCAAGAATATCAAAATGGCAGTGTTATCTTACATAGAGGGAGACAGCATTTAGCACATGTAGCAGAGGAGACAATTGCAGTTTCTTTAGCACCAGCATGCTGCTTCTCTCTGACTAAGATTGTCTGTGTTAGCGCTTAACCCTCTCAGAGCCTTTGGAAAGTATGCTTGTTATTTTGGTACTGAATTAACACATGCCACTTAAGAAAATTGGAAAAAAAGTCAAGGCTTAGAATGAGTTCTGGTGATCACTTTTAATTTATCTTCCATCATTAAAATGTGATCTGGGGTCCACATGTTCTACTAAGGGCAGACATGAATGCTTCTCTGCTTTCTATTAAAAGCCACTCTAGGGTTTTACAGTTATCAGTACCAGCGAGGTCTTTCCAAGGAATTTCACGGCCGTGGTTAATCCTGGCGTCAAAGACAGGGAATTCTTCCTTAGCTTTGACAAAAATTCATGTTTTCTAAGAGTGTGATTCCATACGACTTTGTGGTAAGAATTAATTTGGTTTTCTCTGGAATTAGGCATGGTTCTAGAAAGTGCTTCTTAAATTAAACAAGCCTTGAGGACCTTATTAAAAATTTCCAAAGGAGGGCCTTAGCATAGATACTCAGTAACGATACAGAAGTTAAGTTTTCCTCTCAGTCACTGGACCAGGAAAGGGTCTTCCAGACCATTTAAGGTTCTTAAATACCGATCTAAGAGGTGAGAGAAGAGGCACAAACAATATTTCCTGGGAGGTACGTCTTATAATATGGTAGCTTTATATTTGAAATAAGAAACCAAACTATTTACATAAAACAATTATATAATGCATATTTCAACAATGTTTTCTTAGCTGCTAGGGATATATGAATAAGGCAGAGGGAAATTGTTCCATGGCATAACTACAGCTCTGACCCTTCACATGTATCAAAATCACCTACAGGGCATTTAAAAGTTCCTAAGCGGTGATGACACTACTGATTCGGTTTTTTTTTTTTTTTTTTTTTTTTTTTTTTTTTTTTTTTTTTTTTGTTTTGTTTTTTGGTTTTTCTCCGGTACCGGGAACAGAACTCACAACCTTGCGCTTGCCAGGCAGGCGCTTTGCCACTGAGCTAAATCCCCAGCCCCTGATTCGTATTTTTAGAACCACTGTGCATTAGTTACTTTTCCATTGCATGGACACAATATACAACACTCACAACATAAAGGAGGACAGGTTTACTTTGGCTCACAGTTTTAGTTGGTTCAGTCCATGGTTGCCTGGCTCCGAGACAGAAATGATACGGCAGAAAGGCATGGTGGAGAAAAGCTGTTCATTCTATGACAATCATTTGAAAATTACATAAAACAGAGACTCTCAAGATCCAGAAGACTGAGAAGTCCGATGGATCTGAAAGTCAGCTTTGCTACATACTGACTACATGGCCTTGGGGAAACCACAGTCTACCTGTATTAGTCATTTTTCCTTCACTGGTACAAAATACCTGACACCTGCAACATAAAGGAGGAAGGATTTAATTGGTTTACCCATTCAGAGGGTTCAGTCCAGTTATCTGGCTCAAGAAGGCAAAAATGACAAGGAGAGAAGGAGCCAGGGACAACACACCCACCAAGGTCACACCCTCAGGAGCTCGCCTCAAACCAGGCTCCATCTCCTAACAGCTATGAGCTCATCAATGGATCAGTCCACAGCAGAGTATAGCATCACTATGATCCAATCACTTTCCAAAAGTCCCAACTCTGAAGACATGAGAACTCCGGGGGACAACTTAGAGCTAAACCATAACACACTTGCCTCAAGGAATCCTAAGGAGAACAGCTAAGATTACTCTGACTATGGGAAGAGGAAATGAATAGTGGAAATGGGATGATATAAATGTTCTTTATTGTGGGAACTGCAATCTTATTTTGTCTGGTTAGCTGTGGTTCCTAAAAGTCTTTTTGAAGCATATACTTCAGGCC